TATGTTTCAGAAAACATATAAGTCTTTGGTTCCATCTAGACCAGGCATGGGTAAACTTGGTCCCTCCAGGTGTTTTGGACTTCAACTCCCACAATTCCGAACAGCCTCAGGCCCTTAAGTGTCTGAGTGGGAGTTGAAGTCCAAAACACCTAGTGGGACCAAGTTTGCCCATGCCTGGACTAGACTGTAAAAGTAATGCACCACTTTGACACCACTTTAACTGCCATTACACCATTAACACCACTTTAACTGCTATGGACTCATGGGAACTGTAGTTTTACAAGGCCTGCTATAGCTGACAATGCTGCAAAATGCAGCTTTCACTGTTCCATGTGATTGCTCCTTTGTTCTTCGGGCACTGGTTTCTTACCAAATGAAGATAGAGAACCACAACCTTTATATTTTTATATCCTGGAAAATCCGAATGATCATAAATATTGGTGGCAATAGAGCTTAGCCATTCTTTCCAGCTCTGTCATTCTCTCATTTTGTTATGTTGAAGGTGTCCAAAGAGAATTTGAATCAGCCAGACTTGCTTTCGCTCCAGATTCCTTATCTTGCCAAGCGTTTGCCACACTACACGTCTGTTTTGTAAAAGCAGGATGCAGACAAACTCTGGCTGTCATTTTGTGTCATCAGCAACAGCCAAATATGTATCTCCTCGTAGTCGGCAGGATTCGAGCCTGCGCGGGGAAACTCCAATGGATTTCTAGTCCATCGCCTTGACCACTCGGCCACGACTACTATATGGGAGAAGCTGTTGAAACCATATTTTAAGCAAAAATATATTTATTTGTCATTTCCCTGAAAAATTAGCTGTATAGTCATTGTGTGGACGATTTGTAATTCAAATAGACTTGATTGCATTGCTTACTCTGACCCATATTTTCTTTCAGCAGCCAGGGCCTGCCAAAGATGTATCTAAGGCTGCATCTACACTGTAGAATTAATGCAGATTGACACTACTTTAACTGCCATGATTAATTGCAATGGAATCATGAGATTTGTAGCCAGGGCCTGCCAAAGAGTGCTGGTGAGGCATGAAACTACCTCTCCCTTGATTCCATGGCATTGAGTGATGGCAGTTAAAGTTGCATCAAACTGCATTAATTCTACAGTGTAAATGCACCCTAAGTAATAATATTTTTTCTTCGTGTCAGAAGCGAATTGAAACTCAAGTCACTTCTGGTGTGAGGGAATTGGCCGTCTGCAAGGATGTTGCCCAGGGACGCCCGGATGTTTTGATGTTTTATCATCCTTATGCAGAAAATATAGTTGTTTGTTTCTAATCTGGAGTCCCTGCTATCAAAAGAATATATGATTTGATATGGTTTTTGCACCATATACAAGCCATATAGAGGTAACATGATTAAAGTTCTTAATTTATAGTATATGTTATTGTCTAGAAATTATGTTTTGTTTTCACATGTATTTACAGCATTGAATTTTGCCACTATTATGTTGGAAACTGCTTTGAGTCTCCTCAGGGGTGAGAAAAGCGGTATATAAATACAGTAAATAAATAAAGTTATGGGAGGCGTCTCTCATGTCCCCACCTGAGGAGCTGTAGCTGACAGAGGGAGTTCATCCGTGCTCTCCCCGGATTCAAAACTGCCATCTGTCGGTCTTCAGTCCTGCACAGAGAAACTACTTCAAATCATATCAGTAACTGAACTGATATGCAATGTACCTGTATGCTGAATACATGAAGTTTGTGAGTAAACCATCTTATTTTAACAAAGGCTAATTTATTTTTTGTCTCTTGAAAGCATGATTTAAACCAAGATGTTTTATGGGAGAGTAGATGTTTTGGGGCAACTGAAAGGTTACAATCTCGAACAAGGTCCTGGTTTTCCCAAATGGTTCCGAATATCCATTTTTCAAAAGGTTATGGAGATATTCATTTTCCATAAGGAACTGGCAATGCTGTTGAATCATGGAAGCTGCAGTTTTACAAGATTTTTAGCTTTCTTTGCCCAAGAGTGCTGGTGCTTCATCAAACTACAACTCCCAGGATTCCATAGCATTGAATCATGGTACTTAAAGTGGTGTCAATGTACTTTCATTCTATAGTGTAGATATAAACCCCAAGTTTTGCATTTGTCCAACTTGTGTATGGGTGGCCCCATTCCAGGAATCTATACCTCAATTTTGGGTCTCTGACACTCACAGCAGTCCCTGAAGACAAAACTGGACATGGCTACAAGTGATCTAGATTTTTAAAATTTATTTATTTATTTTGCGCAAACATGTTTTATTTTGAAAGAAACCTGCCATATTTGCAGAATGCCAGAAAGGCCAATTTTGGGGTGAATAAATTCCATTTTGGGGCCACAAAAATGGTTGCAAGAAACAATTGCATGCTCAGATCTAATCTAGCATCTATCATTCTTACTTGGAAATGAATTCTCCTACCTCTCAGGGTACATCTAGACCAGGCATTGACAAACTTCGGCCCTCCAGGGTTTTTGGACAGCAACTCCCACAATTCCTAACAGCCAGTAGGCTGTTAGGAATTATGGGAATTTAAGTCCAAAACACCTGGAGGGCCGAAGTTTGCCCATGCCTGATCTATACTATCAAATTAATGCATTTTGACACCACTTTTAACTGTGATGGTTCAGTGCCATGTAATCCTGGGATTTCGTAGTTTGATGCATCAAACATTTTTAGCAAAGAAGGCTAAAGACGTGGAAAACGACAACTCCTATGATTCCATAGCACTGAGCCATCGAAGCAAAAGTGGTGTCAACACACTAATTTGGTAGTGTGGACGCACACTCAGTTTCACGAGCACCCTAAGATGGGTGGCCTGCATTTTCCCCTCTGAGAATTGAACAAACTGCAGCCAGTCTATATCAAAGTTGCTTTGAAATCAACTATAATATAATAAAACTTTTATTTAAGCCCTCAAATTATTGGTTTCTTGGTGCTATTCCTCATGCTACAAAGAACAGACCTTTTCCCCTGTGCCAAAACTTGAGGTACAAGATCTATACAAGTTTTCTTTATAAGTCTATATCCAGAGATATTTGTGTCAGAGGTAGGCAAAGACTGGTTTCCATTATAGATTCCATCTTCCATTGGGGCCAGCCAGCATAACCTATGATGAGGATTGCTGGGTTATGGAGTCCAACAATATCTGGAGGGCCATATATGCACACAAAAACAGCAAGCGAACATTTATTTTCTTCAATTCTGGTCGTTCCTGTGTTGACGTTGAATGGTGGAAGAGCATTTCACCATTTGATTGTTTACAGATTTGGTTAATATGGTATCTTCAGGAATCTCTAGGTCCTCTGATGCAACTCTGTAGCCTGGGCATGGGCAAACTTGGGCCCTCCAGGTGTTTTGGACTTCAACTCCCACATTTCCTAACAGCTGGTACTCAAGATATAGATATATATAAATACTAGGTTCCCCTGCCACGCTTTGCTGTGGCCCAACCTGGTGATCTGGAAAATAAAGTAATGAGAAAATGTTGTTTTCTAATATATGTAATGTCTTGATGCTTGTGGGTAAACAGTATTTCTTGTTGTTTCTTTATCCGTGCTGATGTGGAGAGTGTCTGGTTTGCCTACTCTGGAACATGCAACATATCATTGTCCTTCTTTAGGGGTCGCTTTCAAATCTATGATACTATATTTCTGTGTGTGTGTGAATCATATCTATTTATTTATATCTATGGCTGGATGGCTCTTTGTCAATAGGGCTTTGATTACGTTTTCTTGCCCTGGTGAAGGGAGTTGGACTGGATGGCCTTAAGTATTTTCTGTTAAACATGGTGGTTCTGTGTGGGAAGTTTGCCCCAGTTCTGTCGTTGGTGGGATTCAGCATGCTCTTTGATTGTAGGTGAACTATAAATCCCAGTAACTACCACTCCCAAATGTCATGGTCTATTTCCCACAAACTCCATCTGTATTCATATTTGGACATATGGATTATTCGGGTCAAGTTTGATCCAGATCCATCATTGTTTGAGTGCACAGTGCTCTCTGGATGTAGGTGAACTACAACTCCCAAACTCATGGTCAATGCCCATCAAACCTTTCTAGTGTTTTATGTTGGTCGTGGGAATCCTGTGTGCCACTTTTGGTTCAATTCCATCATTGGTGGAATTCAGAATGCTCTTTGATTGTAAGTAAACTGTAACTACAACTCCCAAATGACAAAATCAAATTTTTTGAGTGATGGTCACTCCTTGGGTTAGTAGGTGTCTTGTAGCCAAATTTGGTGTCAATTCGTCCAGTGGTTTTTGAGTTACGTTAATCCCACAAACTAATATTATATTTATGTGTGTGTGTGTGTGTATGTACATTCACAGTGTTCCCTCACTTATTGTGGGTGTTACGTTCCAGGACCACCCACGATAAGTGACAATCCGCGATGTAGGGAAGCCAGGGCTGGGTGAGAAGAAGAGCGAAGGAGAAGGAGAAGAAGAGTGCCAGGAAGAGGCGGAGGAGGAAGAAGTTGCTGCTGCTGTGCTGTCGCCGCCTGCTGCAAGTGCTCAGGAGCGCTCTTCTTCTCCTTCGCTCTTCTTCTCATCTGGCCTGGGCCACAGGCTTCCCCGTTGAGCAAGTTTTTCCCAGCCCAGTAGTGGCTCGGCTGAGGCCTGTGCTCACACTCTTCCTCTGCCGCCACTGCCTCCTCCTCCTCCTTCCCAACTCCTCCTGGCCTGAAGTCTAAAACATCTGGAGGGCCAAAGCTTGCCCATGCTTCCAGCATCCTCCGGCTCCACCATTTGCCAGCACCTAGTTCCCCCCCCCTTCTCCTCCTCCCCCCCCCCCCCGGCTCCGGGAAGGGGGGGGGGGAGAAAAACCAGTGAAACAGTGAGTCTGCAATAAGCAAACCATGAAGTAGCAGAGGAACACTGTGTGTGTGTGTGTGTGTGTGTGTGTGTGTGTGTGTGTGTATGCCATTCCTTTTGGTCTACAAATGGCCCTAGGAGACTACATGCATTTCGTTCATCTCTAGTTTAGGGTAAGAAACTGAAAAGGACCTACACATTAAACTTTTATGAAAAAGTGAAGCACCCAGAACAAAGAAAATAGTTCTTTAGCACCTGCTGGTTTCTTGAAATCACCTAGCTTCAACAGACAAGAGTTCTTTCTCCCACCAGGGACTTTCCACAGATATATAAACCCAATTTTTCTAGCTTCCAACAGACCTCACAACCTCTGAGCATGCCTGCCATAAATGCAGGCGAAGCATCAGGAGAGAATGCTTCTAGAACAAGGCCATACAGCCTGAAAAACCTACAGCAACCCACTCATATAGTTGTCTCTCGTGAATGGATCCTCTTGTGTCTCCTGAGGGATGCTTTGTGACCGAAGCTCTGCCCGCAATCCGAGCATTCGTACGGCTTCTCTCCTGTGTGCACCCTCCGGTGATTGACCAAGTTGGAGTTCGTGCTGAACTTCTGCCCACAATCTAAGCACTGGTAGGGCTTCTCCCCCGTGTGGACCCTTCTGTGGTTGACCAGGTTTGAGCTCGTACTAAAGCCTTTTCCACATTCAGTGCATTCAAAAGGTTTCTCTCCGGTGTGGGTTCGCTCATGAATGAGAAGTTTGGACCGGCTGATAAAACTCTTCCGGCAGTAAGTGCATTTGTGGCTTTCTTCCCCAGCTTGGGCTTTCTTCCCCGTGTGCAGCCGCTCATGTTTCCGAAGGTAAGAGCTGGAAATGAAAGTTTTTCCACATTCAACACATTCGTACGGCTTTTCTCCTGTGTGGGTCCGCCCATGGATGATCAAGTCCGCTTTCTGATTGAAGCTCTTCCCGCACTCCAAACACTCATAAGGTTTTTCCCCTGTGTGTGTCCGGATGTGTATGACAAGCTGGGGCCGATGGACGAAGCTCTGCCCACACTCATTGCATTTGTATGGCTTCTCCCCGGTGTGGACCCGCTTGTGGGTGATGAGGTTGGAGCTGGACGTGAAGCTCTTCCCACACATTGGACACTCATAGGGCTTCTCGCCAGTGTGGGTCCTCTCGTGGACAATGAGAGAGGCTTTGTCACTGAAACTCCGGCCACAGTCAGAGCATTTGTATGGCTTCTCCCCAGTATGAACTCGGGTGTGCTTCATGAGGTTGCAGTTGGTGCTGAAACATTTGCCGCACTCGGAGCACTTGTACGGCTTCTCGCCCGTGTGCGTCCTCTCGTGGATAATCATGTGGGCACTGTTGTTGGAGATCTTCCCACAATAGGTGCAGGTGTACAGTTTTTGTGCTTTCTGGTTCCGTGGGAAGTCAAAGCCACGGCGCAGGACGGTCCCCCAGTTGGAGCCGGTCCTCTTCCGCTTGGCTTTGTGGCTTCCCTCTGAAAAGGGTCTCTCTTCCAAACGTTTCTGATGAATCAAAGCCTGGATCTCCGTCTGGCTCTCCCGGTGGATTTCTTGGCTTTGCTCAATCCCGGGAGTCTCTCCCAACCCACAAACCTGGAAGAGCTTCCCATTGAGTCTTGCCAGTGACAGACCACTGATCCCAATATCGGCATGCCTTTCGAAAGGAAAGCTCTCCTCCCCATTCTCGTATCCTTGGCAGTTGCCTGTTGGAAAAAT